CTTTTCTTAGCACCCTATCATATGCTTTCTCTAGATATTCAAATAAACAGTGGAACTCCTTCTGACCTTCTTTATACCTCTTCAACACTCTCAAAGCAAACATCTATAGTGCTCTTTCTTTGCATGAAGTCATAATGCTGTTCACTGATTGTCACCTCTCCTCTTAACCTAGCTTCAACAACTCTTTCTCATATCTTCATGGTATGGCTCATGAACTTTATTTGGAAAATAGAATACAACAGAACAGAATAGAATAGCTCTTGGTTAACTCCTGCAAATTGTATATTTACATTTTATGCTGAATGTTGAACTGGTTATTTTGTGGCATTGCACTGTGGCAGAGTAAAAACTTATGAGATGCCCAACTAATGCCAACATGTACATTCTGGTGGACGTGTGCGCATGGATGTAGTTGTCACTTCTATTTTTAGGGCAGAATAAGAAGATGTATACAAAATAAAAGTCAAAGTAGACTCACTGACTATAAAAGCCCTGCACCACACACAGTTCCATCTCTGCTCTGTAAAGCAGGAAGTACCAATGCATGGGTCTTTTTTTTTTGGCTGATGAGCTTTTCTAACTTGTAGCTCAGTGCTTACATACTACCTTAGCCTGTGCTGCTCTGTGCATCCATTTAACTGTAAGTAAACTATTTACATTCATCTTTACCTTGATTAAACAATAGTTTACCTGATTCTTCTTATGTTCATGTTTATCATCACTCCTCATGCTAAAGGCCTGCTAATTAGCCTGAGGCTAATTAGAAAAGTGAAGATCTGTAATGTTTGCTTCCATCGCATAATCACGTCATGTTCATTTATTTATTGATTATTGTTGTTTATTATTTAGTTGTGTAGCTGAGATTCTCATATTGAATTCAGCCTCCTTTGGTAGACAAAAGGCTTCTTTGTTTGTTGGTCAGCATTGCCTCACCGTTTCATATTGTGCTCATGATTTGCATCCTTTTAGTAAGCTGCTTTTTCATAGGTTGTTTATATTTTATTCTTTCTACGGCAATTTGTTTCCTTCCTTTCAGAAAGCAAACTCTGCAAACTTACAAACATAAAATTATGTCTCTCTTGGACACCCTGTAAAGACTCTTAAGCAATAAAGCTCTCCCCACAGGAACAACTGTTTGTGACTTAACGTGTCACTTCAGATGTTGCATGTTCTTTCTCAAAAGTACATGTGAAGAAAGTATGTGTGCCTGACACACTTTTGAAAGTGTGTTTTGTCTGGATTTCGTTTTGCGTATAAAAGTGAGGGGGAAATTGTTTATTTGCATTTGATGGATATTTCTTGAGATCAGGTCACTACAAAAAGCAAACAACTCATCTGAGTCTTTTTGTTGGCAAGCAGAAGTGAAAGTTGATTTCCTAACTTTGAAAATAACTAAATATATCATCTCCCGTTGACTGTTTCCTGTCAGTTAGGACTCAGGTTTGCAGCAGATTTACACCCAGATTTGTACATAATTTTCTAGAAGCTTTGAAAGATTAAAACCACATCGTGGGTGAATGATGAGCATGGAACAGTTTTTTATCATTGTGCTACTAGCAGGAGGAACTCAAGGTAAGATTGTCCTCATAAAGAAGCCAAACATTCACACTTGTAGTGTGAATAATTTCACCTCATGTTCTATTAAATGCATCTTCTCCAGCTCTCTTTCCAGTTGATGCGACCACATGTGACCTCAGGACGAGCACATGTCCATGCTCTCCTCTTCTTGAAGGAACTGTGTACATCCAAGTAATGACTGATGCTAGTGGCCATGAAATGAAGTGTTTGAAGGTGCTTCCCAATGAGACAAAAACTGTGTTCAGTCTGAAGAAAGAAAAAATAATGACAGACAAGGAATTTAACAACAGACTAACGTTTATAATCAAGAACGGGACATTCAAGATCACAAACCTGAAGAAGAATGATTCAGGTCAATACAGCATTGAGGTCTTTAATTCAAATGGAGTCCAAGAGAAAAACATTTATTTCACACTGGGTGTTAAAGACAACAGCAAAGTTGAAAGCAAGTTATGTAAGTGACCTTTTATTGCCTAGTTTTTATGTTATTATAAAGTTAATTACAAATGTAAGCATCATGTGGCAGTAGAACTGTTAAACACAGTAAACATCACTTGTGCAACAA